AAAAAAAACTTTTAATTAATTGTTAGAAAAGATTGCTCTTGGAATAAATAATACTGGCAATTATCCTCAGCATTTGATAAAATAAAATAAAAAATATTTCCTTATCTTTATGTTTTTATTTAATGATGACAAAACTTTTTGTCATACCTAAGTATATGTAACATCAAAAGAACAGAAAAAGAGAAAGAAAAAGTGAACATATAGAATGGTATAGATAGCATATCATAACAGACACATTAATGAGACACATTTCATTTTAATATGTGCGATAGTTAACTGTCTCGATAAAAACAGAGCCGAAAAAAATTTCGCAGACGGTTTGCTATACAGTTTAGAACCTGTTTAGCAACGATCAAAAAAAATGAATTTTAAAAATTCATAGAAATCTTCAGTTTCTTCTGAACATACAGATGCAACAAACTGATGATCAACGTTAAAAATCAAGAGAAAATCTCTGAATGTCAATAGGAAGGCTGTATGTGTGTGGGGGAGGGAAGGTGATGAGTGTGTGGATTGCGGGCATGAGTGGTGTGATATAGGGGTGTGGATGTGAGTGTGCATGAATGTGGGTAGAATGCAGATCCTCACACTCACCCACATGGTCAGTGATAGATCGAGGTACCTATTTGGTACGTACGTTTCCTAGGAGGAGTAAATGCAGTTTCAACTAGAAATGAGATCGATTCATGTTTATTAAAATCTAAACCGAACCGAAAAATAATTTTTTCAAATCTCCACAAGGGATAACTAAAACTAAATAATCGTTTGATGAATTCCTTTTTCTTATTCCAGACGACTTTCATTTATTATCAATAAATGTATATATATATATACATGTAAGTTCATTTTTTGTTTATGATTGAAGATTCTTGTTATTTGAGGAAGATGATGGTGATGATATTAATGCATCAATCAAAGATAATGAATTAATTTCTGTTGATGGTATAAAATGAGTTTGACTAGGATTACATCCATCACAAACTTGAATATTTTTATTCATGTTTCTTGTACTAAATGAATATGTCATGTAATAATATTTGCATGATACAAATTTTTCAAATCATTTAGATTTTTCTTCATCAATTTTTCGATCATGAACACTAAAAGATTTCCAACAATTGGATCTTTTATATTCACACAAAAAGTAATCTGATTACTTTTGTTTTAAGTATGAAGCAATTGTTTCCGCAGTCAAAGATTGAAAAGAACGAGATACATTGAATATGTGAGCCAATGACAAGGATGAATTAGAAGATGAAGTAGTTTGTTGGGTCTTTACAGAATTTCATGAAGAACCAAGTTCAATAACATCGGTTTCATTTAATATGGGAGAAAGATTCATCTTCTCTTAACTTTTATTTACTTGGTTATCACAAAAAAACCCCACTCGATGTTCTTTCTACGCTAACAATATGAATTACATTTAATTTTTGTTAGACAAGAAAATGTATCAATATTATCATTGCTATTTCGATATTTCTTATCGTTCCAGTTTCTTGCTTTACATGTCTATAGTTATTTTATCTAGATCAATTCAATTACGACATGAACAAAATGGAAACCAACATCAGTTAGAAAGTTGCGAATCGAACTGAAACTATTTATTTTAATTCAACTCATTTGAAGATCCGCTTCTATTACCACATCACATTAAACATAAGTCTTATGCCATCTTTTATTAATATATTTTATTGCTCGAAAAAAATCTTTTGTTATTTGTTTAAATTAAAAATCTCAGGTCGATTAAAAGAATATTTGTATTTTACATTTTACAATAAAATAAGATTTCCTTTATATATATATATATATCATTCTAATTTATATATCGATAACGATGTTGTTTTTTATGTGATTGTTCTCCATGTTGCATCATCATATGATGACCACCTTGTAACGGTTCACCCGGTGCTGGACCATTTGGTGGTGGTGGAATATGAAATGCATCATCAGGAATTTTGTCAATATTTAAATGCTACAATTAATTTCATGATAAGAACAATCTATAAAACAAAAATAAATCATACTCGATCACGGCCAAAATAATATCGAGGAGGTCCAGAACTTGTACAAACATCTTCATCTAATAATTGATCACCATCAACCCAATACATCATATAAAAATTGCACATTTCATCATTGCCAGTTGGACTAAAAGGAAATAATTTAGTTATTTATCTTTAGTAATGAAAAAAACAAAAGAAACAAATGTCATACCCAATTCGAACAACATGTGAATTTGTATTATACATAGTACAAACAGCTGCAACATAATCACCTTGTTGAATAGTTATATCTTTTTGAACTGGATAAAACATTTGTGGTAATTGTGGTGAACGTCGACCTATTTCAGTCCATTCTTGATCATCATTTTCACCACGTACACGATAACCAGAATTAACAAGACCTGAATTTATGTTTTCATATTCATATTAAATAAATGAACTCTAGAAAAAAAGTTTTATTTACCTAATTTATGTGCATGAGTTCGAAAAGCAAATGGATGCATTACAATATCTTGTTGAATTTTGCAAGCAACTTCAAATACTTCTACAAAATCAAACGATAAAAAAAATCATCAAAGTTCTGCTTAAAAAATTTGTAATAAATGCAAATGTAGTGTATTAATATGAACTTACCTTAAGAATTCTCTTGAATTCGACTAGTAGTTAAAAGCAAAAAGATGCCAGCACATTTAGATATACTGGATCATACAACAAGCAAGGACAGACATAAGCAAAGAAGATACAACACTCTCAAAATGATTATCACAATATAATTCAATTACCAAGTGAATGAGATGCCATTGCTCCATCAGTTAATAATAGCATAACACCAGCTGTTTTTGGTGTTCTGTTTAGGAATTTAAAGTTAAAAGAAAAATGTCTCGAATCTTCCCAAGCAGAATTTTAATCAGAAGCAACAAAAAAAAAAGATTTACTTACGGATTTGATGTTGTTGTTAAAACTAAACCTGAACGATCAGTTTTTCCAGCTTGAAACAAAATATTATATTACAATAGAAATGTTTTTTTCTTTTAATTGAATAAACTACCTTTGAACTTATCAATATTTGCATAATGAACTTGTAATACAAGATATTTAATTGAAGTTGAACCACCAACTTTGAAAGCGACATCTACATAAATAAATTTGATTAATTTTTTTTATAAATATTATTTTTATTGAAAATTTAACCATTAGGTAATTCAGTTTTTTCAGCATCCATTGCCCAAGCATAGATAATAGTTGAACCTGAAGCACATATTGGTGCTGTTTCATAATCTTCTTCAGAAGAATCATCCGTATTTACCATTTCACCACAATTCCTAGACAGAAATATAATATTTCTATTTCTTTAATTAAATTAATTTTAATCATACCAAATTTTTTTCTCACTTCCTGGTTCGGTACATCCAAAAAGTAAAATATGATGAGCATCTTTTGATGTAGCCGATGGATTAAATGCAGCTGAAAAAATAAAAACAATAAATAATCAAATTGAAAGTATTTTTTCTTCTTTTTAAATATTTACTTATGTATGTTGATTTATCTTTATCCATTTCAAGTGATGTACATAAATAGTCATCAACCTATATAAGTAATATGATACTAGATTAATTCATGAAATTTGATACATACATGATTAGCAACAACATCAGGCATAAGAATATCTAAAGTATTGGGTGTCTCATTGGTTGCTGATAATAATAATATTGAAGAGAGACCGAAAATAATTGAAAACAAATTGTAAAATACCATCCTAAAAAAACGGCAAAGAAAAAAGAATATGTAAATAAAGATCTTTTGTTTAAAAATAGAACACTGCCATGAATCTGGCACTTTTCCCACTAATAAATAACAACTCATAGATGACTTTTTTTTCTCGTTCTTCTTCTATTCGACACCGTGCCAACCTCATAGCATCTCGCTCTACTGTAGTTGTCGTTACCAACAAAACACTTTAGTACAAGAACAGCAAAAAAAGCTTTTTCTATAGACAAAGGAAAAAAAATTATTCGTTATTGTATCTGAAAAACCCAAAGGTCAACATGCTTTTTAATGACATGTTTGTAGTATATACAAGCATAGAATTCAATTTTGCATGTTATTACATAAATTACTTAATATTGAATTTGTTCATAATGACAGAGGATAGATGTTTTAATAGAAAAAAAATCATATCATCACGTTCATAACAATTCATAGCACGAATCCAACTTGTCTATGATATATTTCGGAAGTTCTATTTTAAACAATCTAAGATCGGTGCTCATTTATTTGATTAAATTTATTGTGTTATTAATATCACATTGTATCAGAAATGAATTGCAAACATTCTGAGTTGTTACAACAGTTATTTAAAACGCATCTTTGTAGCTATATGACTATTGACTTGATCGAAACCTTAACGAATGAAATTGAATACTGTTTTTTTTTGAGATATTTAAGATGAAAAATCAAAGATTAATTTTCAAAATTTTATTATTCACGACAAGAGACTAAATTTACTTCACGAGAAGTATGAAAAAAATTCATAACAATTGAAGAAAGGTGCAGACATTTGAGAAAACTTAGGTTTTATGTTAGATTCAAAAGAAAAAAAGATTTTATTTCAATTATAATAAACAAAAAATTTTAAAATTTTAATAATTGTACCATTTGAGTTAAGCAACCTGTCAATCGGTATCTAAATGCATCATTCCATATGACTAAGTTGAAATCAAATTTTGAATTAGTAATTTCTGACAAAAACTACTGAAGCGATTCATTACAAATATAGTAAAACTATTTGATTATAAACGATGAAAGAGAAAAAAAAACAAAAAGTATCAATCAAAGTAAATTAGTTCATTGAACTGTAAAATTTCAATTTTTTCAATCATCATATGCTGTATATATTCAATAGAAATAATGATGTAGTCTTTATTCACAAGTATCGTTTAGTCTACTTTATATTATTTCAATAGAAAAACAAAACTACCCACTACATCTGTGTACTATTGTCATCAGTTTGTCTTTTGTCATATATTTTAATAATGAACAAGTCTACAGCAATGTCATATAAATATTCATTCTCATGTTTTCTTTTTGAAGATAAGTTTGACATTTAGGAAGAAAACTTTTATTCCTACTTAATGAGTGATATTTTTTTTTAAGAAGACAAGTATTGCACAATCGCACATATTTCTACTGTTCTTTCATTCTGTTATTTCTCTATACTCATATGAATAGAAAATAGAAAAGGGAGAGAACTCAATAAATTTGAATAAATTCGACATCGAACAATATGCAACAGCATAGTGATTGAGCCAATGAATAAAGTAGAGGTGAGACGAGAAAAAAAAAGAATGGTCAACACAGAGGAATTCATAGCGTTTTTTTCTTCGCCCTGATGTGAGTTTCGTAATAAAACATATTGAGTTCATATTATATGTAACCACGTATGTCGTTGACAACGAACATTTTTCATTGACCAGAATAATTGAAACATTAAATCGAATACTTCGACATTAACCTAATGATGATGTATACGTGCATCACATTCTAATCTATTTTATTTTTATTCTATTTTCGTCATGCCGCGAAGTCAACAACATTAATTTAGATTCATTTCAAACATGATAGCTATTAATGAATTTTATTAAAATAAAATATTCTACTAGGGAAACATTACGTTAGAATTAGTATTAGTATTAATTAATATTAATTTGACAAACCAAGATATTCTACTAGTTGTTTGCAGTAAAATGTAGATGACAAAGAGAATAATCTAATTTAAATGAACTAAGATGTAATTGATTCATTTTTATTAATTATTAATGTAGTAATTCAAGCATGTCATTTTCGCTCATTTTTTAGATACAAAAACAAAATGTTAATATCTGGCAAATAACGGACTATTTATCATGTTTTTCAGTCGTCGATCTATTAGTTTTCGGAATATTATTATTATCTCAATATTTCTATCTTTTCTCATTATTTTAACAACATATTTTATAAAACATAATAATAATAATAATAATAAGAATCGATTTATACCAGCGTCTAATAATCTTTTTAAATATCATTATGAGACAAATAATAAAGTAACTATTTGTTAAAGAATTTCATATTTATTAATTCTTTATTTGTAGGATTTAATAAATATAAATTCTGAAATTATTGAACGTATAGCTGGTTCAGAAAAATTCCGTGTCGTTGCACAATCTGATTTAATTAAAATTGCCGATCATTCAATATCACTTTATGTTCATTTTGATTTAAAAGGTGCTGCACCTAAAATATCCTATTTTGAAAAACTTTTTCCATTATTACACAAATTGGGTGCAACAGGAATTTGTATGGAATATGAAGATATGTTTCCATTTAATGATATTGTTAGTTCAATTAAACATAAACAAGCCTACACAATAGATGATATTGAAAAAATTAATCAACTAGCTAAAGATAATCATTTAGATGTTATACCATTATTACAAACTTATGGTAAGCGAAAAAAATCAGCATATATATATAAAACACAGAAATTAGAATAAAATTTCCAAAATTTAATATTGAACAATTTTAAAACGATTAAAAAACATAATCTTTGATAGTTCTTTCATAGGTTTTTGACACTAGCATTATACCATTAAGACATATAACAGAGCTATGTTAGTCTTCCATAGAACTTATATTTTTAAAATGTGAGTGTAGGCTTGTAGTGATATTTCCGGCTATCTTCTTTACAAGCATCTTCTCTTCGTTATAAATAGACGAGTCATAAAAGTGGTTGTTATTTCTCTTATCACTTCTTCTAGTTCATTACAAAGAGGACTGTATTATAATCGATTACTAGATGTGCAATATATAGTATAGATTTTTGTTAAACTTGTAAACTTCTTCTGAAGAACAATTGTGAGTGTAAGTTTGCATCAAGATTTCCTGTTCAGATTCTTCGATGGACATGTCTCCATGGCAGATATAGTTGAGTAGCAAGAGATAGATAGGTGTGTAAATCTCTGCCCGCGCAATAGAAGACTCTGAGTCTTCTAATATGGAAGGATCTTCTTTTGCGGAAAAGGGTTTAATATCTTTTAATTTTTTTTATTTAGCAATGTTCGTCGTTTTCTTTTTGATGATCTTGTTGCTAGTCTGAATATTGCATATTTTTGTATTTGAGGTAGAAACTTAATCTTATTAGAGATCTACATGAATAAAAAAACCTAGTCGTGAATCGATGTACCGCAATCAATATAACCTCAACACGAAAAGTGTAAGTCGGTTGAGTCCTAATTTTAAGTAAAAATCAACGTGAATATCTCAGAGTGCATTAAAACATATTCTAGGTGGTGTTGAGAAGTGCTAGGAGATTAAATGAATGTGTAAGATAGGCTAATATGACAATTAAATCAATGAAAAAAAGATTGAAGAAAAAAAATAAATTAGAAAGGTCGAAATAAAAGCAGCAGATCAATAAAAAGCATCTGGCAACAAGACAAATTTATGTGATTGAATTTTTTCTTGTTTGTCTTTCTTTTCTGATCCAGACAACCTGCGACGTTTTTATCACCATTGAACAGACAATGTACTCGCTATGCATTGCTGTCCGATGTCAATGAAGAAAAGATCGTGCAATACATAACTTCTTCTCCTACTAAGTTTTTTCATGCTCTCTTATAGAACTTTTAAATGAATAGAACATTCAAAATTTCGTTTGTATCTGCAAAATGTTCAGACTGCAGATCCATCCAGAAATTCAAAAATTTTTTCGTAATTCGACCCGAATTCGATACTGATTCCTGTTTATAAGATTTAATATCATTCATAAGAAATTTTTCTCACTATTTCTTTTCTTCTTTTCCTAGGTCATTTAGAATTTTTATTAAAATTAGAAGAATTTAGTGATTTACGTGAAAATCCAAAATATCCTCAAGTAATAACACCATGTAAAAATAAAACGTATACAATACTTTTTTCAATGATTGATCAATATTTAAGTTTACATCCAACTATACGTTTTTTTCATATTGGTCATGATGAAGTTTATTATTTTCTAACAAATCCTGCATGTGAAGAATTTAAACGTTTAACTGGTATTATGACACATCTTGAATTGTTTGCATATCATCTTAGTATAATTGCTCATTACATCAAGAGAAAATCTCCAAATATAATTTTATTTGTTTGGCATGATGTTTTACAAAATTTAAATTTACAAATTTTACAAAAATATAACTTAATGAATATTATTAATCCTGTTTTATGGTCTTATAGAGAAGATATTAGTGTAGAAGGATTTGCTACTGGTTCACAAGCAGATTTTTTTGGACAATTTAAAACTTTATGGGGTGCAACAGCATTTAAAGGTGCAACAAATGAAATTGCAACAATAAGTGATATTAAACGTTATTATCAAAGTAAGAAAAACGAAGTATTTTGGTTGTAGGGAAGTTTTTCGAACAAAAAGATATTGGGTGTACGTTCTAAGTCGAGACTTTGGGGTTCCCTCCCTCCTTCATAGCAACGGAAGCCGAAGGTCACAGGTTAATGAATATGTTTTCTCTAGTAGTGGAGAGAAAAAGAAAGGTCAACAATCATTGTTGGGCACGTTTCCATAGCAACCGAGAATAAAAGGCGTCAGACTTTTTTCTCAAAATTCCTTAGCAATGAAGAAAGGCGTT